GCATATTTGTGGATTAAATATGATAAATGTAGAACTAAAACCATAAATCTTTGGATCCCAAATCTGAATTAGATAAAAGCAGATGAGAGTTAGCCTAAGCTGAAAAATGGAACCTAAATGTCTCATATGAGGCTGGGCAGGAACCAGGATCATCACTTTGAAAGTATTTGAAGAAAAGAAAACTCCAGAAATTGAAATACAGTACTGAGAGTCATACAGAATTTAGCACAAAGGGACAAAGAGCTTAAAACTATTAAAAGACAAGCAATAAATACATTATGGGTAGAATTAACTCTCACATAGGTTCACTTAAAATATTAGAAGTGAAAAATAGAATAAATATTCAAATAAATAATGATGGAGAATTGTTTACAACTAAAGACCTGGACTGATGTTTTCAATAGGTGTGTCTAACAAACATAAATACTCTGAGTATTTTAAAACCTAAAAAATCAATATGGAAAAGTTAAATATAGAAAAAAAGGTAGTGAATAATTTATAAACATAAAAAGATGTGCCATTCCAACAATTCTAGAAAATACTAATTTAAATCTTGTAGAGATATTACTATACATTCATTAGATTGGAAAAAGTATAAAACTATGATGTTGGTGAGGATACGGAGCAGGAAGAGTTTCACTGCTTTTTGCAATAGTGAAAAGTTCACACACTCATGTGTTCATCAATAGGTAAATAATGATGGTGACGTATTTTATATTCCTAATATAAGATATATACATCATATAAATACATATACATATTAATATGTGTAAAATTTTAAAATAAATGACAGAAATAAAGCAAATTTAGAAAGTACATGTATCTGTTAGATTAGCTACATCTGGTTAAAATGAGAGAGCAACCCAAGGACAAGAGAAAGAAGGACAACTTCACCTGTGTATAATGATTTTTATTTTTATTTTTTGAGGTGGAGTGTCGCTTTGTCACCCAGGCTGGAGTGCAGAGGTGAGATCTCGGCTCACTGCAACCTCTGCCACCCAGGTTCAAGTGATTCTCCTGCCTCAGCTTCCTGAGCAGCTGTGACTACAGTTGCGCCATGCCCAGCTAATATTTTTTATTTTTTATTTTTTTGTATTTTTAGTAGAGACGGTGTTTCACCATGTTGGCCAGGATGGTCTCCATCTCTTGACCTTGTGATCTGCCCACCTCAGCCTCCCAAAGTGCTGGGATTACAGGCATGTGCCTCCCCGCTTGGCCAATTTTTTTTTTCTTTTTGAAGACGACACAAATACAACAAAACCAAAATGTATTAACTATAGTTATTTATTACATTACTGTATGAACTTTCCTGTTTAAATATTTTATAATTTAAAAACAATTTTAAGAATTCTATCAATATTGATCTAGCTGGGCATGGTGGCTCACGCCTGTAATCCCAGCACTTTGAGAGGCCAAGGCAGGTGGATCGCTTGAGGTCAGGAGTTTGAGACTATCCTGGCCAACATAGTGAAACCCCATCTCTACAAAATATATAAAAAACTAGCTAGGTATGGGAGCAGGCACCTTTAATCCCAGCTACTTGGACAATCACTTAAATCCCGGAGGCGGAGGTTGTGGTGAGCCGAGAAGGTGCCACTGCACTCCAGCCTAGGCAACAGAGTGAGACTCAGTCTCTAAATGAATGAATGAATGAATAAATAAATACATAAATAAATAATCAATTCTATCAATATTGATCTGGAGAAAAAAATCTCAAATTTTCTGCAATTTATTGGCTAATTTAAGCCATTTTTATACCTCAAGAAGACCAAAGAGTAAAAATCTCGAAAGTATCTCATAACAGAAATAATATTTTGATATATTTAAATATATCTACCTTAATCATCAGTATCATGGTAACAGATTACATAAATATTTAAAACGACTTCAATTTTGAAGTGTTTTTACATACAGTAAATTTTAAAGTATTTAGTTCGCTATTTACTGCCCATTAGTTTCAGTGTTTTTTTCTGTTATACTTATTTCTGCTCTTTTATCATTTTTACATTAAAAATAATGTGAGGAGTCTTCTTAGTTAGATGAATCTAAAGTCTTTTTGACTAAATTTTTCTAAAATTTTAGTTTAAGAAGTTTTTTTCTTGTTGATTTCTCATTCAGAGTATATATTAAAAAGACATTTGCCATATTAAATTGCATTGAACACCCTTTTCAAAGCCATTGCACTCACAGAATGTGTCTATCCTTGAAGATGAATTTGACTGGAGCCATTTGGCTTCCCTAATTGCTCTGCTTTTACATTTAATCATGAAGAACTCTGTGTACTCAGTGTTAAGAATTAACGATTGCCCTGAAAATGTCAGTCAGCTTAAGTGACTGACAATTTTTTTCTTTGAGAGCTGAGTGTATGACATTAAATACTTGATGAGTAAAATAATAAAAAATCAGAGTAAAGGGATCTTTGTTTTAGAAATTAGGCTATATTGTTCCTCTAGATCTAATCTAACTATAGTTGCAATTATTTACATCTCCTTTTCAAAAGGAATGAACTAAATTCTGGTAAAGGAATAAGAGTACTGAAATGGGAAACTGGGATCATTCTATCAAAATCTGCTGCTAATGTGGCTGGAGATTTAATACCTTCATTTTTAAATTATGAGTGCAAAACTAGATAATTTCAGTTGTCTCATTCAGTCTCTCTCTTCTTCCCTCCTCCCTCCCTTCCTTTTCTTTCCTTCCTTCCTTCCTTCCTTCCTTCCTTCCTTCCTTCCTTCCTTCCTTCCTTCCTTCCCTCCTTCCTTCCTTCCTCCCTCCGTCCCTCCTCCTTCTCTCTCTCTCTCTCTTTTTCTCTCTCTCTTTCTTCCTTTCCTTCTTCCTTTCTTTTTCTTTTTCCTTCTTGACGTAGTCTCATTCTTGTCACCCAGGCTGGAGAGTAGTGGCACAGTCTCAGCTCTCTGCAACCTCCGCCTCCCAGGTTCAACTAGTTCTCTTCCCTCAGTCTCCTGAGTAGCCGGGATTACAAGCGCCTGCCACCATGCCCTGTTAAGTTTTCTATTTTTAGTAGAGAAGGGGTTTCACCATGTTGGCCAGGCTGCTCTCGAACTCCTGATCTCAGGTGATCCGTCCAACTCGGCCTCCCAAAGGGCTGGGATTACAGGTGTGGGATTACACTGCATCCGGCCAGTTTTAGGTTTCTTAACTAGAGAGTTGGAAAAATTATGAGCAAAATAAGCATAAAAGATTTTTTTTTCTGTTCAACCGATGGACCAGGCTAGATATTTTATCTTCAACAACATTTTCTCTTCATGTACACCATTGACCACTCAGCACTGTACCTGGGATATATCAGTCATAACTGAAAACTATAGTCTATTTTCACAGAAATGTTTCTTGTGATTTTCCCTCTTTGTTCTTCTTATTTTCATTGTCTAAAAGATGCCATCAGCATCTTTTCCCACAAACTACTGAATTTTTCTCCTAACAGACCACACTCTTCATCTCTCTGCACCCTATGTATCTCCAGTGTTTCGAGGGTGGCATTCTTAATGAGAAAGCACTGATTTTATAAACTTCAATCTCTTCCTTTGGTTTAGTGGTTAAAGCAATTCCCATATAGAGAATTCTGCATTTTTCCCAATCTAGTTTTCTCATTTTTCTAGTATAATATTTTGCCAATTTCCATCTTTCTTCACAGCTTTGGATTCACATCCCTAACTCCAAAAAAGGCAACATCAAATTTAGTTAGATTAATCGTTTATTTTTCCCACTTTATGCTTTTGGCAATGCTGCTCCTGCTGCATAATATACACTTTCCTCCTTTTTTATCAGGTGAAATTCTACTTATCTATAAGTCTCTGACCAAATACTAATTGAAAGCTTCCCTGAATACCTTGGAAGAGAAAGTGCTCCCTCTCTCATCTGAAATCGTCTCATAGGACTTTTACATAACCCTGTTTTAGGACTTAATACATATATTTAGTTGTTGCCCTTATACTTTCTCTGGTATTAAGTGCTAATTTCTTTCTTTCTTTCTTTATCTGCCTATCTAGCAAGCATTTATTGAAGACCAGCTATTCATCAGATACTTTGTGAAAATATAAGGGACAGAGTTGTAAGAACTGATTTTAGTTTTAACAAGTTTATTCTTTATATGGAAATCCAACATTCAAGTAAATTTTAATTTACAATATAGGATGTTGAGTGCTGTGGTAGGTAGTCGTCTCTGCAGAGAATACTTCGGAAAAAAAAAAAGAGCATTAAAATCTACTGCATAGGAGGGTAGAAATTAGGTCCAGGGACTTTGGTTGAGGTCAACCATTCATTCATTTATTAACTATTCAGAGTGGAGTATGATTAGTTCTCAGTAAATGTCATTAGATACACTTTATTTCAAGTATTTGGAGGCTTATTCTCTCTACTGTGTCGGATAAAGGCCACAGGTAGTGAAAATATTTCAGAGATACGGAGAATCGAGTAGGAATGGCAACACCAACCATTCCCATTCAACGAGATCCCACAGGGAAAATGTCAGTTTTGTGAAGGCAGATACATTAATCACATACAACTCGATTAATATAAACAAATAATCTTATCCATTGAGCTCTCCCACAGACCTACTTGGGCCCAATCAGACAATAATGAAGTACAGGCGAGACAGCATTCTGCACTCACATTCCAGGCAATGGTTCAAGCCCCTCCCGCAGGTCCCCCAAGAAGGAGACAGGATGATTAGTGTATATTTGACTCATTTTCCTAGAAAGTGCAGACTCGGTAAAAAATGTGTTAGGTGGTGAAACGCTGATGGTTCACAGTTTTCCTCAATGCAAACCCTCTGCCCAAAGCCTCGCTTTAGTATGGAGGCGCTGCGCCTTCAGCATTCTTTCCCTGTTGCCAGGTAACCACTTCCCCCTCAGCCTAGTCTCCCTGGGTCACGAGCCACTTCCGCCTCTCAGGCGCTCCAATCAGCGGCCAGTGTGCCTGTCACGTGGGCCTCCGGGGCCGACCCTGGAGAACCCAGCTCGCAGCACCTTGCAACGTGGCTCCGCGCTGGGGCTTGCGGAGCCCGCCTCCCCGCCCCTCGGAGCCCGCGGGCCCAGCCGCCCAGTCCCGGGTGCCCGGGGCGAGCAGGCCGGGAGGGAAGGGCGGGTCCGCGCGTCGGCAGTTCTCGCCTCGCAGCAGCGCCCTCTCGCTTCAGCACCTCCCGCTGTCCGCTGCTGCAGCTGCCTCCTCCTCCAGGTAAGAAGCTGGTGGGGCCGCAGAGATACCCAGGGAAGCTCAGGCTTGAAGAGGGTGACATGCTTGAACTGTCGCGGCGTCGTGTGACAGGGGCTCTGACCGCCCTGTGATCGCGGACCAGGGCGATGTACGTCTTGCAGGGCTTTGCACACCATGGTGCCTAAGAAGATAATCCCCTAAGTTTCAGAGCCACACACCTGATTATCACAAGGCAAGGCAAGCAGCAAATATTTATGTATCTAAACTACCACTACGGTATAAACTATGGACATTTCGAGGGACATTGTTTTAATTTTTAAGATTATTAAATATTTGCATGACTAGAGCCTAGATTGCTATTCTCATCACTCCACTGGCCAGGCACTTCTGTATAGATCATTTACCCCTTTGAAAATGGTCTTATCAGTAGGGTTGTACTAAGAAAGGTTTGAGTAAAAAGGAAATGTGTTCCAGAAAAAAGACGGTATTGGATATAAGACACGTATACTATGTATTAAGTATATCATAAAATACAATTTTTGCTGTCCTCCCCTCTCCAAAAAACAGACTTGTTTTGCATGCAGAGATTAAAAGGAACAAACAATTTAAGGAGACTTTTTAACTATATTAATTAAAAGCAATCGATTTGAATGAAAATTAATGAAACCTTTAACCATGTATCAAAAATAAGTTATTTTGCATATTAATGTATACATATACATACTATATATATTTAACAAGGGTTTAAAGAGAGATGTTACATTTCTGAATCTTTCATAAATACCCTTTAGAGAAAACTAACACAAAGAAAAACAAGTTCATTATAAAAGGGTACGAACGGCCAAAGCTCAACAATGTGAGATTGTAACTGCCATTCTTAAGATTCTAATAACATTTCTGGTTTGTAAAAATTAGAAAATAAATGACAACGAATTTATGAGAATTTATAAATTTGAACTCCACAACAGTTGAAGCATTAATTGATTTGTAGATTTACGCCCTGCTTGCCTGGAGCTGATGCTGGGCTGGTGGTGATTACAAACTCTACCGAGGAAGCACTCTTATATCCTTTTGAGATTCTGCTTCACTGGCCTAAGAGTTCAAGAAAATTGATAATAGTTTTATCTAACTGTTTTGAAAGTAGACATCTGAGATAGGTGATCTGAGAACCTTTCCCCTCCTATGACCTAAAATTAAATAAAGTAATTAAGTGCTTTTGAAAAGTTGTCAATTCATTAATATTTTGGGAAACATCCTTTACTGGATTGTTTAGAGGTTAATGTTACAAATTGTAGCTTTAGGTCATTGCATTCAGAGTTCCTGGGATGTTTTAAAGCAATGACCTATTTCAAAGGGCATACATGGAAAGTAAAGCTCTTGAGTGAATTCCACAAAATTATGTAAAAACAACTAGTTGAATTTTATAATTTACATCGTTCTGACTTTCTCTTGTGTTGATATTAACAGAACTGCTTAAAGAACTGTGGACATCTGAAGAAGACATTAAATATGCTTACTTGAAAGTTTTAAAATTCTTTATTCTTCTTATTTCTAGTGATAAGTAGTGGTGTTCTAATTTTTTTAAGTTACGCATTAGTCCCATAATAATTCCATAGATTAGAAAGCCATCAATTAATTTAAGCCAGAAAAACAAAGCGGCCAGTAGAGAGAAGACTAGGGCTGGAGTGCTTTTGTCATTACTGCTTTCTATACACTTTATCTTGTGTCCTTTAGTCTGGGTATGGAGGGACAGCACCAGTGGCAGTTTTTTAATTACTTGGAGAAGTTTAAGAACAGGTTTTTATTTGTTTGTTTTACCCTGATGGATACTAGAAGTTCAACATGAATGATTAGGTTGTCACTATTAATAATATATGTGTAAATTCTCCAGAGTACCTACTTCTGTTGCCTAAATACTTTAATGAAGACTAAAATGAAATTCTAACAGTTCTGAAGGATTCACGTTTTCTTCCTATATTCCAGAATTTCTTTAGAATCTAATATATGCAAGAAAGGTACCACTTCATCAGATTACTGAATTGTAATACTGAATACTTAGAGTTTACCCAGCCATTCCTGATCATTATGTATACGCAAGCATCATTGCTGCTTTTGACAACTACTGAATTATCTCATTTTACATTTTGTATATCTGTTCCATTTAACAGATGGAAATATTAAAGTGAAGTCATGTATCTTCCAGAGTGTCTTCAGGAACAGAGATTTCATCGAAAGTATATTAATTTATAGAAATCATATGAGGATAGGGTAGGCACAGTGGCTCACGCCTGTAATCCCAGCACTTTGGGAGGCATTGGCGGGCAGATCACCTGAGGTCAGGAGTTTGAGACCACCCTGGCCAACATGGTGAAACCCCATCTCTACTAAAAATACAAAAATTAGCTGGGCATGGTGGTGTATGTCTGTAATCTCAGATACTTGGAGACTGAGGCATGAGAATCTCTTGAACCCAGGAGGCGAAGGTTACAGTGAGTCAAGATTGCGCTACTGCACTCCAGCCTGGGCGACAGACTGAGACTTGGTCTAAAAAAAAAAAAGCCATATGAGGACATTGGAAGGAATTTCTTATTAATTTACTCTCCTTTTCTTTTCTGTCAGAAACGTATGAAACTCAAGAGTTGGTTGGTACTTTTTAATATCCAAGACTGTGTTTTATCCTGTTATAATAGCATTGTGATCATTCTTTCATTGTGGGTAAGACTATTCCTTGGAGATTTTTGAGCAAGAAATTAGATACAGACACCTGAAGAGAATTTTAGAAATTCTCCCAAAGAATCTACTCTATAAGAAAACAAAACCTAGAGAAAAACTTTTTTCTTATTTAAATTTACTTAAAATGTTCACGAAGGACTTGCAACTTTGGTAATAAAAATTGATAGAAATACTGTAAAATCATCAGCTTTGTATAGTAAAAGAAAAAAAATCCCATTATGATTCATTAGAAAGATTTGAAAAGTTCCCGTGATTAAAGTATGGGTTGTCACGTTAGAAGACAGAGTTCAGGTTGTTTTCATCTGATTTCAGTGACTAGGCAAATATAATTTCAGTGACTAGTCAAACATTTCAAATAGGCTAAATTTTGTAAGGAAAGAAAGAACTCGATATTAGAGCCAAAGCTGGCACCTGGCTTCCAGATGCCACATTTTCAGTTACTTGAGTAACATAATTTTTATATATAATTATAAAAGTATTACTTTTTATTATGTTAAATGTACTTACAAAGTATAGTTCAGTAAACTGTCTTATAAAATTCTGTAATTCTACATTCCAATTTAAGAAATGTAGCATAGAAACAGACAGTAACATAAATCTATAATTAAGATAATACAGGAGGTAATTTAACAATGTTATTTGCTGTGATAAGGGTGATTGATAATTGTCATGTTCAGATAAATTCTAGCAAAAGTATAAGAAATAAATTTTCATGTGTCAGTGAATGTTATAACAGTCAATACTTGTTTTGTAAATTCAAATGCTGTGAGATGGAAAACTCAAGATAGATGTCCTTAAACAATTTTTCTTATGCTTAGGTTTCTTGTTTTCTTATTCCAGATTCGTCATGTTTTTTTAGTTGTAGGCATGTACCAGTATCCTAGGCAGACTCATTTACAATGATGTATAATAAGTTCAGTTTCATATCATGCACACAAAAAACTTACTTTCAAATTGGAAAGTAGAAAATAATTTTTATTCTACAAAGCACTCGTGTTTAATGTGCTATTTTAAAAACCCTTCATTATCAAATACAAATAGCTCCACATGGAGTCTCAAAAATTGAATAGTTGGTTAATAAGAAATAGCTAACATTTAAGTTTGATTCTTTAAGATAAGACATTTGGGTGACTTTTAATGAAAAGAATTATGCAACATTTTATTTTTAAGGTAAACAGGTTTGAAGGAGTCATTTTGGAATTTATGATAGCAGGATCCTTAAGACTAGTTACTCTAACACCATTATTTTATTAGTAAGGATACTAAACACATAAACATTTTGTTCTCAAAATTAGTAAGGGAAAAGTTGTCTTAGAACCTCAGGCTCTACGAATACTCAGTTTTGTGCTGCCTCTCTACAGAGCTGCAAAATGGATCACCAACATGTTTTTTTCTTGTGTTGTACTTTTTTTAAGTGACCAAGTCAAAAGTTTAAATAATTAAAGTCTAAATCATTTTCATGTGGTTAAAATAATTGTTGTAGTTAATAAACAATATGCACATGTTTTGGTCTCATCATATAGAAAGTTTACTTAAATTATTAGCTACAAAGTATTTTCCCAACACATATAATTTATTGGTTTGGTTATTAATATAAGATTTGCTGCAAAGTCACCTGTGATTTGAGACCTGGTTACCTTAGAAATTTCTGATCCCGATGCACTCCATGGTACATAAGTAGCCATCACACGTAAAATTAAATGTTAAGAATATTAGAAATAAGATGCTTTTGGAAGTTATATCTGAAGCCTAACTTATGGTTATTCTTAGGTAAAACTGTAAGGTTGAATACCTTTATTTTCTAGGCTTTCTTCCACTTTGGTACTAGATGCTACTTACAGCACTGTTACTCAAAGTTTACCTTAGACTACCAGTATCAGCATCTCGTGGGACTTTATTAGATATGCATATTTTTAGGCCAGGTCCCTACCAAATCAGAATTTCTGAGGGAGGGGCTCAGAAATCTGTGTTTTAACAAGGCTCAAGTGATTCTTATGCAAAGTGGAGTTTGAGAACTACTGATACAGAGTACTTTATGCCATGCAGGTGAATGGTACATGAACATTACTAGATCAACAGGTAACCACGTCTCTTGGCGACTTGGTCGCCTCTTGAGCTAGTAATGTTCATGTACTATTCTACTTCTGAAGCTTGTCTTGGGAATACCATACACTACTAGATAAATGAACTTGTTCCTGAAAATATAATAGTTGATATGTTTCATTAAAATTTATATATAAATAGTAGCTTTTTGGGCATAATGTCTCACCTTAATAATTAATTAATTA